TTTATAGTCTCAAAAGAAGCACTCTGGCAGAAATAGTGGGAAACCAGTGTGTTCTGACTAAATTGTGGGGCTCCTATCTGAGGGAATATAATTCTGGGGGTGAATGGTAAAACCATATCAAAGATTAAGTAACCAAAACTAAGGTCTGCACACCAAGGGGGAGGGAGTGAGGGGCACATATTATTACTAAGTCTGAAGGGGCCAAAGGTGAGATTTGGGGTCAAGATTGGAAAGTCAAGAATTCAAGACCAAGTAGAGGTGAGAAGGGAGATAAAGCTAGCCTAGAACAAATTGGAAATAGGATCTGGATTCAAAATAATTTCCTTAAATCATCCAGAAACCTTTCTGACTTAGAATTTTGTTTCAGCAAGGTCGTGGTGCAAGTTAGAGTGCATGCAAGCACCTAGGTAGGGTGAGTAGGTAATGCTAAAATGGAGCATTTGCATCTAGAGAGTGGGTATGAATATTTAGTGGAGGGTAACGGGAAGTGAATGGAAAGAAGGTACTTTTCATAGCAGGAAGACTCTTCAGCCAGCCTGGCATGGAGCGGCAGATGTGGGATGGCTCCTGATATTTGGTCAGAATGTATCGACTGCCATTACATGCGAGACCCTAAGCAAAGGTCTCATAATTTCTCCTTCAGACAAGGACTGAGACTCGTTATTTGGTGGAAAAAATAAAACTTGACTTCAAATATTACAGGCTGGATGGTTACCTGAACTGTGGTATCTATAAAAGAGGGCCAGGGGAGCAGGGGAACTCTGTCCTCCTTGTTGTTGACAGTCTTGCCTTGCCTCACGGCATCCTGGCAGAAGTTTGGAAGGATCTTTCTTGGAGCACAGTTCCAGACTAAATACTGGAGACTATACACAAGACTTAACTTGGAGATTCCCACCTGACAGTTTCCAGGGACATTGGCATGCTGGGGGGCTCTGTGCTGTGGGAATGAGGACAACTTGCAATGTCTGAAAAGCGCCACTTCCTGCTTTTTCATTTTTCTACTTTAGAATAGTTACAGTTTAGAGGAGGAAAAAAAAGGACTAAAGATATTTTGAAGGAAGTAGAATCTTCTTTATTGCATGCAGTTTGCATTTTTTTTTTTTAGTCATTTGTGGAGGAGGCTGTTTTAAACCTTGTAGGAAATTTGGCTGAGATAAGACGTATTTCTGATATCTCAATCAATGTAGACTTGGATGCTTTTCTTTCGTGCAGCTCTTTTCTGAAACACATCTATCTTAGGCTATGATGCTTTATATCTGATATACTTGTTTTTATAATTAGCCTATAAAAGAAAAGTTAATAAAACTTTGGTTTCCTACAGCCCAGCTAGCCAGGTGTTAATGGCTCCCAGCCTACGTCAAGCACATTGAATGGTGGTATTTTTAAGTACAAGCTCTTAATTCATAATTTCGTGTCTTTAATAATGTGTGTCTAAAGTGCCATTGTGCAAGTGCGCACGCCTCTTGCGTCTGGCCTAACCTGGAAATATTAAGTAAAAGAGCACATGGAAAGTGCCATGGAATAAGACTTTACTCTTCAGATGTTCATTCTTTATCCCAAGAATCACATCCCCGCAGGGATAGCCACAGAGGCACCCTGTTAACTGAGGAAACATCTCCATTAAGAAGAAATTAATTTCAAGAAATTTAAACAGGCAGAAAGGGATCATTAAGAGGCAATGAGTTGTAACAGAAAGTGCACTGACCTAGGCCAGAGGAAAGTTGGTTTCTTAACCTGACTTTTTTAGTGTAGTTCTCTGAGCCTTTTTGTCCATATATAAAATGAGGTAGTTGGACTCGGCTCTAATGAGAACAATTAGACACTCACTAATTACTCTGGCCATTCACAAATAGGCTGCCATTTGTTTCAAATTACAAGGAAGGCTCTATTTCAGTAATTTTAGTAAAATGCTTTGTTTAAATAATAACATACATTTCATACTAGTGTAACTATAGCAAAGATACACCACTTGCTAATCCTCGGGCTTTAAGGTTTTATGCACTTAGAGGCCAATCAAAGGGAGAAAGCTGGGGCGGGGGGGCGGGGAGGGGAGGGATTGGGGTCAAAATAAGGGGGTTGCAATTGCAATTGTATAGGGAATATAAAAATAAAATTTATAAAAAAAATTGCTTAACAGTAAAAAAAATCACAAATTAAACACTATTTTTAAAAAATCAGTGTACAATTTATGGTATGTGAATTTATCTCAATAAAAATCAAAAGCAAACAAAAAAACAGGGGAGAAAGCTCCTTCTAGGTTTCATATGTGTAAGGGACCCTAGACCTTTCCGTGGCATTTTCTTGGAGACCAGTACCAATGCTGGGAAGTACTTTGAGGAGGAAGGAAAGACTTCTCTTTTAACCAGAGTAGTTATACTTTTGACTATATTATATTTTGGGGTTTCACATTTAAATCTTTTTTAGGCCAAGGCATTTAAAAGGTTTGGCAATTACTAATAGATGTTATATAAAGGAAACTTTTGTGTCACCAATCTTATCATTTTGTAATACACCAGCTGTCAAAGAGATGAAATGGAGCGTGAAAGATAAGAGTTTCAAACCTACTTCACAGGAGTCATTTCTCCGGAGTACTCACTCAACCTACCACATTCCTCTTTGGGGCTCTGAATTTGAGTGAATGTCGGAAGTTTGGGTCTAGAATAACCCAGATGGATGGACCCAGAAGATTGTTCTTACCATTTTGAGCTAGGTTGGAGAATGCTTATTTGTTAGGTAGGAGAGAATGGGAATGAGAAACAGCCCTAAATTGTTTTAGATTTTTCTTCCTTCTAATTCTTATTTGTGGCCTAATCTGTATAAAGTGTAGTGTAGAAAAACCCATATAAAGCAATGGGAAATAGAAAATTTAATTTTTGAAAGCCATGATTTATTCTCTGACTGCAGACTGGACTATACCTTTCCTGGCTGTGATGTCACCTCCCTATCTTCAGACCACATGTGTAGGTGAGGTCAAGTCACTTTTTATTATGCTCTCCATTTTTTTGTTACTTGGAACTGTTAAGAAAATTTCTTAGGCATTCAAAAAAGTTATTCCAAGGTTTATACTATAAGAGAAGGTACTAGATCTTGTAATTTTATTCCAAGGTTAGAGATCCATCAATAAATGATTACCATAAAGCATAACATCCTCAAATATACACACTCAAAGAAAGGAATTATATAAATAAACATAAATCACAGTTCTCAATCTGATGCAGGATTTGCAGGGGCATTAATAACACTTAACACTCCCGGTCTCCTTTTCTTTAGCACCAGAGAGAGGTACCTGCAGAGCATATGAATTCCTAAGGGCTGTGTTACTTAATCACTTGATTTGGAAGTGGATACAAATTACAAAGGCTTTATTTTGTCTTGAGATTCTAATGGCAGAATTACAGGAGCTGCTTAAAGTATTAGGTCTCCTTCAGTTTTTAAGTGCAGCAGTTGAGCACTGGGTTCGCCGGTTCGATCCCCGGCCGTCTGGTGAGGGTCCCACATGGCGCACAGACCTTCCTGCTGCCCGCTGCTCCCCTCAGCAGTGTGTATCGTCAGTCTGCCTGTTCTGCTCCCCGCACCTTCCTGCACTTCTGACTGTACCCAGTGCTTATATAAATAAATAAATCTCAAAAAAAAAAAAAAGTCTACTTAAAAATGGGTTCACCTTTCCCTCTTTTAGTCTTTAGCTTCCTCAGTCTCCTTTTTTCCTCCCAGGTTTTCAGAGTTTGATTTCCCTTCTAACAGACCATAAGAGTGAAAAAGAGCACCAAGTTGAGAGTAAAAGGATTGGAGTTTTCTGTATTTCTTACAAGTTTGCAGCTGTGTTTGTTTCCTTACCTATGAAACCTAACTATAAATAAATCTATTTACTTAAGTGGCAGCTTCTTTCTCTATCATCTCTAAAATTCTCCCTGGCCTACTCCTTTGTCTACCTCTTCCCTGTTCTCTCCCTCAGCTACTCAATATGCATAGCTGTTCAAAACTGCTCATAAAATAAATGTGATTGTGAGCAAACATAACCATTAAGTGTAGTAACTAACAAGATAGGGAGTTTAAAAGTACTAATTTTTGTAGTTTCTCACTATGTTTATCTTTCTTATGCTCTAGTGAAATATAGAATACAGGCATATTTTATTTGGTCTGCACAGTTGTTGCAAAGTAAAACAATGTTTTTCAGCCATTAGAGAGTAAAAATATAAAGGCTTGATATTGCACAATATTGGTGAAGGCGTAAGGAAATGCTGACTTTCCATTCTGTGGTGGGAATGTCATTGGTACATCTATTTTGGAGGTCAGTTTGGAAGTATCATCCATATTTTTCAGTTTCTAAAGAAATTTATATGAGATATTAAGAGGTATATCCAAGGATGGTCATTGCTATATTGTTTTTAAATATTAGAAATATTCTGTATTTTAGAAATTTAGAAATATTAAAAATTTAGAAATATTCTGTATTTTAATTAAGAAGGGGAATATTTAATGGATCTATTTTATCCATTTTATATATGTATAATATCCATATATATTTGTATCTCGTATATATTCAAAATAACTCAAAGAATGAAGTTATCTGTATGTACTAACATATTTTAAGGAGAAAAGCAAGATATAGAACCATATGTTCACTATGATCCATTTGTATAAAAACAACATAATTGTCTACATACAGAAAGTATACAGCTATATATACAAATGACTGCAAGGAAAAATACCAAACTGTTAATAGTAATTACCTTCTGAGGAAGAAAGTGATAGTGAATATGTATTGCTGATGTAAAAATGAACAAAAGGAAAAGCAAAAGGAAGGTTGAGGAAGAGTGAAAGAGGCAAAAGGATTAGCAGGAAATTTATCAAAGATAATAGGGGAACAGATTTAGGTGATATCCTTAAAACTTCAGAATCATTTAGGAACCGTGGTTCGTATTTGAGACCAGGACTACCTGCCACTTATAATAATAACTCTACCCTTCCATCTCCTTGTATGTGCAACTTATTCTTCTTACTCATCTGTGTTCTACAGGTACCTCGGGGCCAGATGAAGGTGTTTATACAGCAGGAATTTAAGGAAGTTCAGAAAGCAATTGCTGACGAGGAGGAGAAAGCCCTTCATTTAGTAGACATCCAGGAAGCAATGGCCACAGCTCATGTGGCTGAGATATTGGCAGATGTCCAGTCCCACATGGAGAGGTTGATGACCCAGATGGCCCAAGCCAAGGAACAACTTGATACCTCTAATGAATCAGCTGAGCCAAAGGAAGAGGTAAAAGAAAATGTCTACATTTATTGGTAGTAGGAGAACTAGAAACTAACTGCCAAGGTTGTTAGCTCTGGGAATGTTCCCTAGCTGTGGTCCCTGAGAATGAGCGAGAGAATCAAAAGCGGTAGGTAATAAATGTTGACACTGGTGTGCAAACCTGTCTGGGAAGATTGGCTGCTAAGACCTAGATCCAGTAAGTGACCCTAGCAAAATATTTGTGCCCCATAACTTAAAAGAGTATAGTCAGTGGGGCAAATACTAATTGCAGCGAAGGAGGAAGCTGGAAATCAGTGCCAGAGAAGAAGGCCATGACAGAGCTATGTTGTAAAATGAGCCCATAAATAAGGTCATCCCAGGGCTGAGAACTGCGCTGACTGAAAAATGTCAGAATTGGGAACATAGAGCAGGACAGAATGAAAGATTTTGGATTGATACTGTGAATAGTGAAAAGATACCTCAAGCGTGGAGCCTACAGCATAAATTGGGAGTATAAATGTTGGATTAAGAGTGGCATGGGGACTAGGGCCTTATAAGGACTAAAAAAGGACAAGTGTGAATGAAAGACACAAGATAGATGTTCAATCACTGTGAAACTCTTAACCCTGGTCCTTCCCATGTTGCTTTGAACCAGTGGTTATTTGTTCCGAAAAGAACCACATACATCTAAACAGCAAAAATGGATGAACATAAAGCAAACTCCTGTGCCCTGTCTATGTCCTTCCCCACTCTCCCTAGAAATGTTATTAACAGTTCAGGGAAAATACAGTGAAGTGTCCACTAGCACACTTATAATGTCCCAGACACTTGCAAAGTGTTTGGCACACATTTTCCTTGCAGATCTAGTTCTCCTGCATCTAGCTTCCCTGGGAGGTAAGAATTTGGATCTCCCTGTGCAGAGGAGGAAACTGAACCTTGGAAGAGTTAAATAAATTGCCAAAAGCCTCATGTTGGAATTGATGAACCAGAATTTGAAGCCATATTTCTGTAACTTAAAAAAACATGTCTTAATTATTGCACAAAGATATGTGACTGTGATGAGGATATGCCCTAAATCATAGGAAAAACTGGATACATTTTCCATAAGGTTCTTCTAGACAATTATATTTTAACATCCAAACTAATTGAAAAATTGTGTTAAGGTTTAATTTTGTCATTGATAATTATGCAACTCATATTAAATTCAAATTATTACATTTTTTATTACTAGTGAATACTTCCCAAAAGACGTGTCAGTCAAAATGCAAAGAGAACTTCCCCATCCCTATACCCTCTTTCACCACTCACTGCAATTCTCTGTCAGGAGAGTAGAAATTATTAACACAATTAACCTCTATTTCAGGTCCTTAATAGTCTGCTAAAATGCCCTTGTTCCACGTCCAGTGCATAACCTGGTTTTAATCACCTTCCTTGCTGCAGCTCGCCTTTCTAAGCTTATGTCCTGACTATCTCTTTTACCTCCCAAGTCCCCAACCTCAGTCCTCCTGCCAAGACATGCACACACATATCCATCCTCTAGTTTCACAGAACTCAAAATTCTTCAAACACACATTTAAAAAACAATCAAAACTGCTTTGCCTTTGCTCTTGCTAATACAGTACTTTTCTTCTGTTGCCAGCCTGGGAAAATCTTGTTTCTCTCTCAACTGCGATTATAAATGTCATCTTCTCTGTGCAGCCTTCCCCACCTTGTCCAGGAGAGGCAGTGTCTGTGACTTTCCTTCGCACTTTCAAAACACGATTTGCATCGCTAGTAGAGCCCTTAACACATTTGGTCATAGTTCATTTTCTCCATGTGTGTGTTTTGCCTGCTCCTGAATGGGAGCTCCTCCAACTTTAGGTCGTTAGTTACTTATCTCTTACCCTCTGCACCTACATATAGGAACTTCTTGATGAGTCAGGCTAAATTGTTACTGATCTTGATAGTTTTTATTAAGTGTATTTTATATTTTATACACTGTGCTTGACATTTATACACAATATTTAATTTTCACATTCGTCCTGTAATAGAGGAACAGTTTTCCCCATTTTACACATTAAGAATTAAGAGAGTCAAAATAACTTGATCATGGGAACACAGCAAACAAGGGATGGAGTCAAGTTTAAACCCATAATGTCTGACTCATTCTCCTTTATACTATTGGGAACAATCAGTCAATCAAATGGGGGCAAGGGGAAGTTCTTTGAAGAGTTATCATATTCTCTATTGGGACCAACCCTCAACGGCTAAAGATGAGGCTGTAAAGATACATTAACATAAAAAGGATGAGTGAGGTCCTTTGGAAAAGGCTTGAAAATCATTTGAAAAGTGTTGTTGGGTCACAGAAGGAGGCTCAATGGAATTTGGTGTGATAACTGATAAATTAGCTTCAGGAAATGCAGTGCTTGGAGATAGAACCTTCACATGCTGTTTTAGCAAAGAGTAAATGAGAAAAGGAAAAACCATTGTTTGAAGAATAATGTAGATCATCAAATGCTAGAGCTGTCCTTTTACAAAGAAGAAAACCAACATCCAGCTTAATTAACTTGCCCAAGGGCACATAACTAATAAATTAACAGAACTTGAGCTAGAATCCCTCTTTCCTGAGTCCCAGATCAGTGTCCTTTCTGCCATGGTGTCCTGCTTTGTGTTAGAGTTGCTCTGTTCATGTTGGCAGAAAAAATGCTAGACCAGGCAGAGACGAGTCTTTGAGGGTAACAGCTTGATGCTTTTGGAGCTGGTCAGCTTTTGCCTAAGACCTGCTGCTATTTTGGGCTCTCCGTTTGCTCAGAACTGAATACTGCCAACCATACAAATAAAAAGGTGAGGCTATTACTTAGGCCTTCTAGGTCTGTGCATTCACTTCTTTGCTTGCAAGAGCAAATTATTGGTTCATCTCTGCTAGGCAGTTTGAACATAGGATTATATCTTCCCTTGTCTTAGCATTTGGACGTTTTCTGGCTTGTCTGCGATGAAATAAATGCATGAGCCCCGCTTTCAGGTTGGAAGAGGAGAGGGAATTGAAAGCCTCTGTATCGGTCTCTACCGATGGTGATTTCTAAAGCTCTTTCTTTCTGTTTGTTTTTTAAGGTGATGAAGACGGACCCAGGTAAGACCATATTATTGCTGCATGTCTGTTCTCAGAATTGAGGTAGACTGACATTTTGGGCCTTTTAATGTCCAGTGAAATATGGACAGTCAAGGAATGGCACAGAAAAGGGATCACCATCTTAAGCCAGGGCTTTGAAGATTTTATTTTGTAAGACTCCCATCTCTTTCCCCATCTATGTCATTTCCTGCCTGCAACCTTCAGATAAAGGTAGACTTTAAAGTATGTAATAACAGTAACTTTGCTTTATTCTTTTGCACATTCAGAATACCTTGTTAAAAAGAGTAGGTACTACATTTGAATGATAATTAGGCTGTCGGGTGGACTGACTAGATAAACTTTTGCATTGTTCTTTCTTGATTGGAATTGGATTGCTTTTTTTTAATGGCTGGTAGATCCAATATTCTTTATTTCTCACCTATAACATCTTTGTGTCTGACTCAACACATCTATACAATGAATCCTAGGTCATAGGTATACAAAACTTTATTTAGGAAAAAGAAATTGCTCCTCTGTGCTTCTCTACCACTATATGTAATTTAAAAGTACATTTTATTGTAGCCTCAGCATTGCAGTGAACCCACAAATAAAGAAATTACCTTTCCTGTCATTCTATTCAGGCAATGTGAACAAGCTCTAGGAACTGCTGCGCTATGCCATTAACACAGTCCAGGGGCATTTGTACAAGTAAATGCAGTGTCCAGCCAGACCTCCTCTGTCACGTAGGATCAAGGACTATTAAGGTGGGAAGGGGTCAGGAAAATCATCCCAGCCATTGCTATTCAAACTTCAGTTGCAGCAGAAGCACTGGGTACTTTTTCAAATGGGCTTTAAATAGAACCCCAGTGTACAAAAAACAACTTTTCTCTGATGAAAGTTGGGGCACATCTATTTGTGAAACTCTCTCTTCATTTTAATAGACCTGAGGGACTTGGCAGACACCTAGGACTCCTCAGAACCTAGTGTGAGAGTAACTTATACTTCACATTTCTCATTGAAAGAAGCTAACTTACTTGCTCAGGGTTACCTTAGAGGAGGCGGGATTTAGCCCTTTTGCTTTTATTTACAAACCAACAAAAACTACTTATTTTTTTGCCTTCTCCCTTCCCTCTTTTAGTGCCAAATGGTAACCCACATCTGCATCTCCTGGTGCTTCCCTCCCTTGGGAGCTGTAGATCTCAGCTTAGATCTAGCTTCTTGTCTACTTTGGTTAGCACCATGTGCTCTGCTCTAAATCGACAGAGCCTCAGGGAGCCCCTTCAAAGGCCATCTTCCAGCTACATTCAGTAACCAGTTCCTCAGGGTTTATTTCTCCCCATCTTCCTTTCTCCCCTTCTTTGCTTTTTTCCTCCCTTCTCTTCTTTCCCCTCTGCCCCTCCATTACTTTTCTTATGACCCTACTCTATAACACTGTGCTGTTACATACTGGGTGTGCAGTGGTAGCCAGGACAGACATGGTCCCTGCTCTCGGGATCCCAAGTCTAGAGAGAGAGACAAGCACCTAATGCAGCACTAATAGTATGGGGGGAGCTATGACAGGGGACCCCTTAGGGTGCTCCAGGAAGGGCTCCCACATCAGCCTTGGAGGACAAGAGGAGGCTTCCCAGGAGAGGTTCTCTAGAGAGTTTTGAGAGATGAGAAGGCAGAAATGGAGCAGATGTAGAGGTAGTTCTGGCTCTAGGGAATAAAAGCTCCAGACAGTAGAAGAATGAACTAAACAGTCCAGGCTATTTAGGGCCTGATAGACCTCTTCAAGGTATTTGAATTCTGTCCTGCAGGCAGTGAGAAGGCATTAAGGAATTTTAAACAGGAAGCTGGATAGATTTGCATTTTGGAAGTCTCTCCTGACTGCAGAGTGGAGAACGAATTGGAGGTGGGTCAACACTAGAGCCTAGGAGGCGAGCTAGGCCAGGCTAGTAGTGCTAGGAGGCTAAATCAATGTCTTCTCTAGTTATCGATCAAGGTTTCCCCATTTTCCCAGACCTTTGGTTAGAACTACTTGTAGAATTATCTCCCTAGTTCTTCATCTCTTCCACTGTCAAGACAAGCTCTAGTTCCTTAAAATGCAGGCCACATCATGACCTTTTCCTCGCCCAGAAAGAGAGTACAAAGAAAACACCTTAGCAATTGTAGTGTGCAGAGTCCGTAAGGTAGAAATAATATTTCTGTCTTGAGGAATTCTAACTAGGGTGAACACATTCATCTTGTGAATATCTGGCCTATTCCAGGAATGACTTTGATTAGAAGAATACAGATGACCTCATGAGATTATCTACCCTCAGAGCTCCTGTTCAATGTGTGATGGTGATTTTAAAGTTTAATTGCAGATCACTTCATGTCATGTTGATAAGGTAGTGGGGAAGCAGAGTTTCTTTACTAACAATCAAGATGTCAAGCTGTCTCCCTCAAGCCAGGCTGCCATGGATGTCAGCAGGGATTCTGTTGGACTGGGATTTGACAGAACCTTTTTTGGTACAATGAGCACTTGAAGAACATGTTCCAATTTGGCAGAAAGAGGAAAGAAGAGTCAAATTTTCTTTTTAATCTTTAAATTCATACTTGTTGATTCCATTCAGTTTGTTGGTGTTGAACTACCCAAACAAATTGTGTTGGCTCAGTTTATTCCAATTAACACTTTGGGGCAGATCTTCTTTGATCTGAAATTTCTCTCATTTATGATATACGCTTTACCATCTCCATAAGCCAAACAGTGTTTTGTTCCCAAAGGCTCTGTATTGCTGACAGCATTAAACGTGGGTTTGCTGTATAACAGAAACAGAGCAATGAGGGTCTGCTGCCCACGGATGGGAGACCAGTGCACCTGGGACCCTGCATTCCAGGCCTGCTTTGACTGTTACCTTTGTGCCTCCTTTGCTCACTTTCTTTCCACACGGCTCCTTCCCCACCCTATGCACAGAAGTCCAGGAAAATTGCATTCTGACACTCTTCAAAGTGGCAGGGACAAAAGGAAATTCCTGTCCTACTGAAACATGTCAGTTTATAATCAATCTCCCCACTTCCCTTCCTACCAGCTGAAGTGTCCCTGCCTTCTTTCCTCTTTTCTGTTTTCACTTGTCAAGCGTTTTGACATGAAATGGCCAAATTTTTGTGCTTTCTTGGTCATGTCTGTTCCTTGTCCTAGTTTATATTGTGTAGTTGTTCTGCTAGCCAGCAACAGTGATAAGCATAGCTACCATTTATTGAAGGTTTACTCTATACAGTGTTCTATCTATATGTTCTCCATCCTCATGTAAAACTTACATTGTAGTTGTCAGCCCACTTTTAAAAGTAAGTAATTACTGCATAGAAGGATTCACTTGCCTTAGAGATCACACAGCTAAATAGAAAAGCTAGGACTTGAGACTGGTTGGTTTTAGTGGTCATGCCCGATGCCCTCAGCTGCCTTCAGACTGTTGGGACACCCTTCCCTGTAGTCTTGAGTGAACCCCCCCATGTGTTCACACAGCCTTCAGAGCCCCACTTGGCTCCTGTCCTCTAACCTGAGAGTTCTTAATTGCTTCGACATTTAATTTCTGTTTTCTATAAGCAACTTCTCTTCTCCTTAACCTCTCTTATTATAGAAATATTCCTTCATCTCATTCTTACTCAGTGTCCCCTGAGGGTCAGCAGCAAAGGGGGGGGCACTTACACACTTCCTGGGCCCCACAGAATAGCCGTCTTTGTCCCTCCCTTGCCATCCGATAATTCATTCTTCCTATTCAGAGATGGCAAGGATTCCTGGAGGGCATGAAGGAACAAAAGTCCTAATATGTAAAACATGTATATTAACCACTGTGGAGTCATCTTTGAAGCCCAGAGTGGTTTTTTTTCCCCAAGCAAAAAAAAAAAGCAATTTACACTTTTGGCAGCAATTTTCTGTCTTCTCTATGCTATAATGGGAGATCTTGTGTTCCCTCCCTTACAGATTGGCTCCCTCTCTACTCCTGCCAGAGCCTGCTGAGAAATAATATATATTCCAGGCGAGGGGGTGGCAGTGGGATCTGTTCCCTGGAAAGCTGTTGTGTAGTAGGAGGAAGAAAGAGAGAAGGACCCTTAAACTCTTGTATTCAGAGGAAAAGGGAATGAGATCAATATTAAATTTTGATTTGCTATTGAGGTTTTCTGTATTTTTTTTTAACAAAGAGTAAAATGCTTTTCTAATAGTTACAACCATACTTGGGGCTTGTATAGCATTTTCATCTTCAGAGCTGGCTCTTATTCAGGTGAAAATCCCCTGCTGAGATCAGTGTGAATCTGACCTATTCTGATATCTGTGATCAAACAGGCAGCGTGTTCTGGAGGAGTTGGGGCTCGCAGAGAGTCAGCAGATCCACCTTCTATTCTTGGCCTGCCTATGACTGACTGTGTGACCTTGGGCAAATTATTTAATATCTTGCACTCCATTTTTATTTCTCTGTCAACATTAGTCTTTCTTTCCCCCTGCTCCCTTGGTTAACCAGTTTTTTGGGATATAGTTGTGTGGAGGAATATAGTCTAATGGCAAATATGGAGTGGAAGGAAACTCCTTATAGGCTTTGTAATGTGGTCGATTTTTTTAATCTTCTTAATTTTGTTACTTTCAAAACTTGGGACTATAAGCTCGATACTTTTTCCCTCCAAAATAATAACTGTGTTCTTAGATATGGCATTTCTCTTCCTGAGGTCTTCATTTGTAGACATAAGCAGGACTAAGACAGTGATACATTTAGGTTTCTTATGTCCTCTGACTGCAAATTCATGTTTTTGATTTTGCATTATCTTCATTTTAGAAGACATAGCTAGAAACCAAAGAAAATAACTTTGATCATTGTGACATGGAATGGAACTATCAGGGCTGCTTATTATGCAGAAGTGGGCTTCCACCATCTAAGTTGGCCTTCAGTGTGGAGAGTCTCTTAACTGTTACATTTCCTGTTGTAGAGCCTGAACTGACTTTGTTTTCCCCTGTTGATATAGATTATTTATCCTCTAGTCACCGATGAAGGATGAAGCCATGCTAT